GTCTACACTCACTTCTGTCTGCACTCACCCCATCTACACTCACTTCTGTCTACACTCACCCCTGTCTACACTCAGCCTCTGTCACAAACCCTCTAGCTCCTTTGCTCCATGTGTTTTCCCTCACTGGCTTTGTGACTGAGTCTGGACTCATCCCTCCATGGTGGGTGAGTGGACTGTGGTAGGCAGATTGGGGCACTCTTTCACCTGCCCACCAGCGTGTGTACACCCATGACACACTGACCAGGACAGCAGACAGAACTCCTGCGGGCAGGGAGAAGGTGGTTTCTGTACCCTGCAAGACAGAGGTTGTTGAGGTGAGCACGAGGCAGTGGGTGGGTGTTTGAATTGCATTTAACGGCTTATGCTTACCGTGTGTGCATGTGAGATGTGTGCACACGTACGTATTTAGTGTGGACATGTGTGACAATAGTTCTGAGGGAGGGGTCCACAGGGACAAAGACCCCTCCAATAAGCCGATGAGCGTCTTTCTCAAGTTCCCTCTCTGTGGTCATTTGGAAGCAGTTGGATTTGAGTTTCCTGTTTCCTAGGGTGGGGAAGACTCCTGAGAAAGCTGCCTGAAACCAGAGCCAAAGAAGAATGCCCAGAGAGGACACCTGAGTTGGGGCAGGAGACAAGAGACAGTCCAATGGAGCTTGGTCCAGGACAGGAGCTCTGAGAGGCCTCCTCCCACCTGCCCAGCACCAAGGGCTGTCCTCAGGCTTGGGGTCTGGTGGACAGTGTCCTGGGAAAGAGTTGGCTCAGGGGACCCATCCAATCAGGGATGGGGAGGGTATGCAGCCCCCCGGAGGTATGCAGTGCTTCAGGGATACTGGACAAGGGGGCCTTCCTTGGCCCTCCTCCACTGGGGCCAGCTCTGGGGATGGGGGAAGTGGACATGAAGTCTGCGGAAACTTGTGAGGCTGAGAGGCAGGTGCAGGCACCATCCATAGTCACAATCCCCTGACCCCAAACAGGGCAGGTCAGGCAGGGGCCATGTGCAGAAACTGGGAGCTAAGCTTGCCTCCAAGCACACGTGGTTATCCCTTGGGGCTGAAGAGAGGGGCTCTACTGCCCCTGGTACAGGGAGACCTGCGTCCTCCCGCACAGTCCCTGCCGTGGTCATCCTTCCGACACTGCATGGCCCGGAAGCCTTGTCATACCTACCCCTGGCCACTCACTGCCTGTGCCCACTGCCTTATCCCCACAGCGAGGCCACCTGATAGCCTCTACACCCACTCCAGCCCTACCACCAGCTCCCAAACCAGCTGGACCCCTACCTACCCTCACCTCATCACAGAGCCTGGCCATCGGCTTCCTTTGTGACCAGACTTTGGGTCTGCTGCCACTGAGGCCAGGCCACACTGCCCTTTCTCTGCCCAGCTGTCACTCCTACCTTGTCTATCTGCCCCTCCCCAGGGACCCAGCGCCCTTAGCGTCCCCCTGGCCAGTCCCTGGAGTGAGTGAATCGCACGGGCCCTGGTCAGGGGGACGCTGTGGAGACAGGGGAGCACAGGCATCGGATGGGGTCTGAGCTAATGAGAAGCAGCCCTGCATGGAAGCCTCATTAGCCTCCAAGGCCTTCTTTCTGGCACAATGACCATTGTTATCCCTGAGCCTGTGGGCACATTAAGGAGAGATTACAGGGGTCACTGGACATCTGGGGGAGGTGGAGGCTGGGCCTTGGGAAGGATGGGGTAACCTGCTCTTGACATCTATGCTCTGGCTCCCTGTCCTGTGGACACACAGAGACACATGTGGACACATGTGTGTTTACACAGACACACAGATACACATGGACATAGGTAGAGACACGTGGACACATGTTTACACAGGTACACAGATACATGACATACAGAGCCACATGGACACATGTGAGCTTATACTGAAACATAGATACATGGATACACACAGAGACACATGTGTTTACTTAGGTCTGCAGATACATGGACACACATGAACACATGTGTTTATACCCAAACCAGATACATGGACACACATGAATGCACATGGACACATGTGTTTAGACAGGCACACAAATACACACGGAATGCACTCATGGACAATCACATGTGCATGCACACAAACCACATCTACCCTACCATCCCTTGAGGGTCCTGTCCCTCTCTGCTGAGTTTGAGGAGCCGCCCGGGGTGCCTTTGGGGACTGAATACCAGGATCTCCTCTGATGCTGGGGGCTGGGGCTGTATTAGGAAGCTAAGACACACACACACACGGAGACTGTGTGTGTCCATGTGCCTATATAAACACACACATCCATGTAACAACCATTGTGAGCTTGGCGGGGGACCAGCCAATGTTCCTTTCTATTGAGTCGGCACCAACTCGATGGCTCCTAACAACAACTAGGGGACTGATGTCTCACCTCCTGGGTCCCCAGGCATGACAGAGGATTGCAGGCAGGATGAGGCCTGTGGGATCCAGCACCCAGGGCCCCATTTCTCCGGGCTAAAGCCAGAGGAGCTGCACACACCGGTTGGGTGGGTGGGGGCACTCTTCGGCTGTTGTGTTAAGCCCTTCCTGGTAAAGAGCTCCGTGGGAGACGTAAGGTGATATCACTAGGAATAACCCCAGCCGTTCCCAGGATTAGACCTGGGCAGGGGAGGGCATCGAGCTCCCTCTGGGGCAGCTGCTCCCACCCGTCCACCATGTCAACCCTGCAGTGACCCACTGCTCTGGGGAGGAGAGTTCGGGGCCCTGCCTAGGACAGGCCTCCCCCCAGCAGCCCCTTGGGCAGACTCCTGAGGGGCTCTGTTCTGGGCCCCCAGTGCTGAGGGGAAGAAGTTGAAATAGATGGACCCATTTGTTGGGCCCATCCTTTGCAGACACCAGAATGTAGGTGCAGACAGTTGCCTGGAGCCATGTGCTGTACCTAATGCCCATAGCCACGCTGTTTTTAAGCGCTGCACTGGGGAGACAGTTCTGACTCAGAGCAACCCTGTGGGCCAGAGCACAACTGCACCAGTGGTTCTTTTTAAGACAGCAGATCACCAGGCCTTTCTTCCGCAGGGCCATTGAGAAGGTCCAAACTGCAAACAGGCAGGTGCTCTGTGAGCGGATGTCCAGCTGTCCCCACACAGCTGTGTTCTCTGGAGTTCAGCTAAGCTGGACTGCAGACCCCTAGCTCCTCCCGCCTGGGGCCAGGTGAGCCTGGAGCAAAGCACAAAGTTACTTGATCGCATTGTAGGCAGGCCTGTGGGCCCCACGCTAACTGAAGACCCACAGCCAACGCAATGCTAGCTTACAGCCCAAACCAAGCTTCCTTGGCCCCATACCTGCTGTCCATTCCCCTGCACCTGGGGACCCCCACCAATCAGCCCCAGCTTTCACAGACGCCACATTCAGAAGCTCTCAGACCTGTCTCACTGGAAGACAAGGCTAGGCGAAGTGCAGGACTTGAAGGCAGATCTCCAGGCTGCCTTGGGTTGGGGGTGGGAGGTGGGGTCTTACTTTCCCCACCTGTAATCTGGACCACCGGCGCACAAGGCCTGGCCTGGGAAAGGTACCTAGGAGGTGGGCAGCATGGGCAGGACCAGCAACAGTGTCAGAGAGTCACTGATCCTGCCCCGATTTAACATTGTGATGTTTTGTTGAAGGTGGGTATATTAACATGGTTTGATTTTCTGTGAAATTGTTGCTTGAACTAAGCTGACCAGGTGTACATGGCCCCACGTGAGCATTCCCACATGACCTCCAGGTGGCTAGAACTCTCCCTTCCACTTAGGTTTGCATGAGGCCATTTACTTTGTTAACACGACTTTGTTTTAGGACCTGTCCTACACTGAATTTGTCACGGTAGCCATTTCTGGTATAGTGCAGGGTCCTAACCTCAGCAGATTTCCATTTCAACCTGCTGGCCTTTGTCACGCTGTTGTGCATTTCATTACTTGTTGTGCTGTGGGCTAATGTGCTGGACTGCAAAGTTGCTTTGAACCACAGGTCAGCAGTTCAAGGTCACCAGTCGCTCCTCAGAAACCCTATACGGGGTCACTATGGATCAGAATCGACTCGACAGCACTTGACAATAACACGTGGCCCATAATACACCGTCTGGTTTCTGTTTGAACGAGAAGCAGGAGGCATGCGCTGATTTTCCCACTAGTGACCGTTTCTGGAACCCTCCTTCCTTGTGCAGCTCTTCCGTCCACCTGGACTGATGATGTCCCGCCGGGCTTTTGTGGTGTGGGGTCTGCTGCCCCTGTGGGGCCGTGACAGACTGCATTTTGCCTTTGATGTTTGAAGGCTATTTTGGTTGGGTATGGAGGTTTTTGACCATTACCAATACTTGTAGCTTGTAGCTCATATTGTCTCTGAGGTAGAACCTGCTGTGGTCTTGCCCTTTGATTCTTACCATGTGTCTGTTTCTCTCTGGCTGTTTTTAAGACTTTTCCCTTCTCACTGCTTGGAGCAACCTGACTATGCGGTGCCTCGCATTCTGTGCAAGTCCCTGTCTGTGGTGGACCCCAGGCCCGATTCCCTTGGCAGATTTCTCCAGCACCAGGAGGCTTGTGGGAGTCCCCAGCTCCCAGAGGGCAGATGTCCAGCACTGTAGAGACCTGCCACCCAGTGGCCATGGCTGTGCCCTTTGACAAGGCCTATGTCTCCACCCTGGAGGCAGACATCTTCTCTGGCACTCAATTTCAGTCCTAGGGGTGGTGGCTAGTCCTAGGCTAGCGTATCTAACATACATTTCAAATCTGATTTTCAGAGTTTTTCTTGTTACTAACCCCTTCCTCCTTGCGTCAACCCCGTTACGTTATAGATGATAACTCTTTCCACAGCATTTCTTCTGTGGCAGTTGCCACGTTGTTGCTTCTCCTGGTTGGACCCAGACTCATACGGCTCGGGTTGTGGGTCACATTTACCTGTTTCTTTTCACGTCCAACAAGGTGAGGATCAGCTGGGAAGCAGGAAGTGACCAGAGACACCTGGCCCAAAGGCAGCTGGAGATACACTTCCCCAGCAGGGCTAGAGCTGACTGAGGTGGGCTCCCCTCCTTGGTGACAGACAGGGACATAGAGGGCCAGTGTGGACCCTGAAACATGTGAGGGCCAAAGGCCAGGGCCTTCACAACTCTTGGCTTCTGCACCCCCATCCTAGCTGTGGGGGCTGCTGTTGAGCAGGGAAGTGAGTCACTACAGAATTCAGAGGCTTTATTGGACAAGAATCCAGGTGGCAGGGGTCCGTGGCAAGGAGGTCTGGAGATGAGTTGACATGGTTGGTCCCTCTCTCACCAGACCACGTGGTCCAGCTCAAGCTGAGAATGGGCGTGGGGGCCCTGTCTCAGGGCCTCAGCCTGCCCATGTCCCCTCCGGCACCATGACAAGGACAGAAAGCTCTGGGAGCAGGGGACTGGCCCCCAGCAGCCTCTCATCAGGCTTGGGCACCCCCCAATGCCCTGAAGCCTTTCTCTCCCCTTCTTCTGTGGAGTAGGCACTAGGTCTGGTCCCAGGCAGGACATGGCTGTGGTCATGCTGCCTACCTCGTTGGCCACTCCATGGAGGTCAGAGGGGACCACCTGGCACGGACATTACAGGCCTGCCCCTGGCTCAGAGCTCGTGGTTAGCAGGCAGCGGTGGTCACCCCTGCTTCTGGGTGGGACACCAATCCGTTTCTGGGTAGAGGAGGCAGTGGACAGACTTAAACCTGAGAAAGCGGGAAGTGGGGTGGGGGGGTCAGGCTGTGGGAAGGGGGGCTACCCCCATCCTCTGGCCTGTGCCCATCTAGCCCAAAGCTACCCGCTCACCGAGTAGGGTCCTGTTGCAGGCTGAAGGTCCCAGCCACGTTCACCACATTATACGGGTTCTCCGGACCCCCGTAGCTCAAGGTGACCTGGGGTGGGGCAGGGGCTGAGGTGTGAGCACTGTTCTACTCTCAGGCTCTGCCCTCTGCCTGCCCCCCTGCACCCTGCCTCCAGTCACGCTTGGCTCCCCATTTCCCTTGCTGTAGGGGCCCGGAGGGTGGCCCTTGTATTTCAGGCTATGGGGCAGCGCTCACGGGGAGGCTCCATCAGATGTGGAGGGGAGGGGAAATGGGGCAGGATGGATGGAGTGAGGCATGGTGGGAAGAGGGCAGAAGGGGTGTGGCATGATAAAGGAGCGGGTCACTGAGCCCAGGGCCCTGGGCTGGGTGGAGGGGCGTGGCTGCTGGAGCAGGACCAGGTTCCTGACTCCCAGGCCTGCTTACCTGCTGCAGCACCCTGTGAGCTGGCAGCCGGGACAGGTTCTCCAGGTGTGAGTGGAAGAGTGAGCTGCGCATCAGATGCGCACCCAACAGGCCCTCCACGATGTAACCCACAGTACAGTCATCGGGCAGCCGGACCCTCTCGGCTGTGCTCATAAAGCTGCCCAGACTGGGCACAGGGCTAGTCAGCACTGTCCGGTGCCCGCCCCTATCCCCCAAGCCTGCCCTAGGCCCCATGCCCCACTCACCCGGCCCATGGGCTCATCTTGAGGGCTAAACCTCTACTGAGACAGAAACCGGCTCCACCAGTTGCAAACCAGAACTTGACCGTGGTCACCTGGGGGTGGGGGCCCAGGGTCAGTGCTAACTTGCCCAGGGCTCTGCACTGTCCTTTCCGACTGGAGCAGACACTGAGCCTCCTCAGACCACCCCACTTGCCCTTCGCCCTTGCCCCACCCCTGGCCTAGCCTACTCACGGTGCCGCCCCCCGGGACCCGCTCAGTGGCCTCGATGGGGTGGTCCAGGCTGGGACGCCCCAGGTAGACGTCCTGGCTTGGCGAGAAGGAAGACAGCAGCTGCATCAAGACCCCTGGGTTTACGTAGTTGTCATCGTCCACGTGGCAGAACCACCTGGGCGGAGGAGGGGTCCCGTGAGTGCCCAGCCCATCCAGCCCCATCCTCCGGCCCCCCACCCCGCGCTGGCTTACAGACTCACGTACTTGCGGCCTGACTCAATGAACTTGTCGTATTCCACAGACATCTTGCAACAAAGTGCTTGGCGAGTGTGCACGGCTGAACAGTTAGTGTTGATGAGGTGGTTGCCTGCGTACAGAGACGGGGAGGACACAGGCCAGGGGAGAGGGGTCACAGCCTAACCCTCCCTCCGCTGGGGTCCAGCAGGTGGCAGTTGCTGTGGTCCCTTGAACGGACACCCACTGGTAAACATGTCCTAGGTGGTACCTTCACCCACTGTCCATGGGTTGGAGGCCCTGGAAGTCAGCCCGTAGCCAGGCAGGATGCAAGACGTGGTGGGCAGCCAACAAGCAGCATGTGGGCTGCTGCTGGGCACCGTGGCTCTGCCCCCCCAACTCACTGTCCCTGGGTATAGTGGACACAAGTGAGGGTGCCATTGTTTTCAGGGTGGGGAGATCCGGCAGGCAGGGCTGGACTGGGGACACTCACCCCCCTGGAGACGCAGCTCCGGGTCGTCCCCGTCAGTGAAGATGAAAGTCTGGGAGAAGACAAGCTGGTGAGCGCCAGGGACCTGGGCAGAGCCCGCCCTCAGGAGACACAGGCGGTTGGGGTGTCCCCAGTGCTCACTGCTGCCCCGTCGTCGCCCTAAAGTGGCAGCCTGGTCCCAGGCCATCACTGGAGAGGCCCCATCAGTTCCTGAACCTGCTTAGGCGACAGGTAGGTGGGGTGCTACGTCTGGGGGGCCCAGGGCCTGGGGGCCACCCCGTGACGTGGGGCTTCGCAGTTGGGGCCCCAGATTTGGTGGGCATAGTGGGGGGTAGGGGTGATCGGGGCCCGGGGTCCGGGCGAGGCCCACCTGCTGGCGGGCCCGGGAGATCCAGGTGCGCAGCAACAACCCTAGGCGCGGCCCGTGATTCTTCCGGGTGGTTTTGACGGCGATGAAGACGTCGTCCGGCCGCAGGTAGATGGAGGGCAGGCCGGGGGTCGCGGCGGGCAGGCCGGGGGCCGGCGTGTTCGGGGCCGGGCCGGGCAGGCGGGGCAGCGGCAGCAGCAGCAGCGCGGCCAGGGCCGCCGAGAGCGCGAGGCAGGCCCTGCACGGCGCCCCCCGCACACGGCTCATGCGGCCGCCCGCGACCCCCAGCGGCGGCCCGCGACCCCCCGCGCCGGGCGCGGAGAGCCGCAGGTGAATGCGCGGCGGCCCCTTTAAGAGCCGCGGCTGCCAGAGCTCCGCGACCCGGAAGCACCAGCTGTGCTGACCCGGAAGCGGACGGCACCGCCGCGGCGGGGTGGGTGGAAGATGCCGCTGCCGGTCCAGGTGTTTAACCTGCAGGTAACGAGCCGAAGGCCGGCCGCGCCCCCGCCGCCGCCGCCGCCCGCGGGGTCCGGGCCGAGCGGGGTTGGGGCGCCGAGCCGGAGCGGGGGCCTGCGTGCGACTTCCGGCCGGCGTGCGCCCGCTCGCGGGCCGCCCGTGCCTGGTCTTCCGCGGGGAGCGGCGGCAAAGCCCCTTGGGAAGCCTGATCGGCGTGGGGAGCGGCCTGGGCGTCTCCCGCCCGACTTGCCGAGGGCGGGCACGAGGTGCCGTTAGCCGCGGGCGTCCGTGTGACTGCGTCTCCTGGCGGGAGCTGTTTGGGGTCACGCGGGGCAGCGCCCCCTCCGCCTCGGCCGCCGGCCCCCGACGCTAACGCTCTTTCTCCCCTTCAGCAGCCAGCCAGCTCTGTGTCAGGGTCGGGGGGTGCAGAGAGTCAGGACAGAATGAGGGATAGCTCGGCCCCCAGCTCGGCCTCCTCGTCAGTGACAGATCTGTACTGCGCCCCTCCCAGCAGTAGGGCAGACCTCTTCCTGCCGGGCACGGCCGGGGACTTCAGCCTGAGCGCCAGTCTGTCGGCCTGTACGCTGCTCTACGAGGTACCTTCCAGGAGAGGGGCCCCGCCGGCCCGAGGACAGGCCAGCCGGAGCCCGTGCGCACTTTCCCGAGGAGCCGGGGCCTCGGCTTGGCTCCAGCCTGCCTTGACCCGAGCGTCCACCCCGCGTGCCCCTTAGGCTCGTGGGGTTCCCGGGGCGGCGTTGTCCCCTCCCACCCCTGAGTGTGACTCTTGCCCTGCACTGCTGCTGGGGACAGGCTCCCGATGGTTGGGGGCCAGGGATGGCCCGAGGCTGTGGCCAGGCCCCCTGGCTCCTGGGGTTCAGGTGTCAGGTGCTTCTTTCTCGGGCGTGAAGGAAGGACCGTGCCTGGGACCGTGTAGCGCAGCCGCTGAAGGGGCCACGCTTGTGCGCCCTAGAAGCTCGTGGGGGGCAGGGGGACGAGGGACAGGTGAGGGGGCGGGGAGGCGGTGCTCGCGGGGGTTCTGCAGCCGGTGGTACCAGGGGGCCGGTGTTGCAGGGGGCGGTGGGGGGGTGGGCTGGGGCTGGGGGACGAGGGGTCTCTGCAGATGGTGGTACCAAGGTGCCCTTGTTGCAGGGGGCGGTAGAGCCCATGCAGATTGACGTGGACCCCCAGGAGGACCCCCAGAATGCACCTGATATCAATTACGTGGTGGAGAACCCCACCCTGGTACGGATGCCTGCAGGCACTCAGTCCCCCTCTGACCAAGAGCCCTGGACCGTCACTCCTCCGTCCCCAAGGCACCTGGGTGGGTCTGGGCTCCCGCCTGGCAGGCCTGGCCTGAGCCTCCCTGTGCTCGTGCCCGCCCAGGACCTGGAGCAGTACGCGGCCAGCTATAGCGGCCTGATGCGCATCGAACGGCTTCAGTTCGTAGCCGACCACTGCCCCCCGCTGCGGGTGGAGGCCCTGAAGATGGCCCTGTCCTTCGTGCAGCGGACCTTCAACGTGGACGTGTATGAGGAGATCCACCGCAAGCTCTCCGAGGCCACCAGGTGGTGTGGGTGGGCCCCCAGGGGGCAAACGCTGGAGGAGACCAAGACTGGCTTTCTCTTGGGTGTGCGTGGACGCCCGCCCACCCGTAGAAGGGCTCGTCTAGACGACCCTCACTCCGCTAGCCTGCAGAACGGTTTTCCCGGCAGCTCCAGGACTGTCTCTGGGCGCCCTCCTAGTGGGCAGTGGGCAGTGGGGCTGGTTGGGTGGGCCTGGCCATGGGCTCCTCACTCCAGCCGCAGCCCTGATGGCCCGCCCTCCCCCAGGGAGCTGCAGCACGCCCCCGATGCAGTCCCCGAGAGCGGTGTGGAGCCCCCGCCCCTGGACACGGCCTGGGTGGAGGCCACGCGCAAGAAAGCCTTGCTGAAGCTGGAGAAGCTGGACACGGACCTGAAGAACTACAAGGGCAACTCCATCAAAGAGAGCATCAGGTGGCGGCCCAGGGAGACAGGCGGGAGGCTGGCCGCCCCGAGCCCCAGGCCAGACCACTCATGAGGGATCTTGCAGGCGTGGCCATGACGACCTGGGAGACCACTACCTGGACTGCGGTGACCTCAGCAACGCCCTCAAGTGCTACTCTCGGGCCCGAGACTACTGCACCAGCGCTAAGCATGTCATCAACATGTGCCTCAACGTCATCAAGGTGGGCCTGCGGCAGACATGGGGGCGGGCAGGTAAGGGGTCGGAGCATAGGGCTCAGTCCACCTGCTCTGCCCGCCAGGTCAGTGTCTATTTGCAGAACTGGTCTCACGTTCTGAGCTACGTCAGCAAGGCCGAGTCCACCCCAGAGATCGCTGAGGTAACAAGCCCCCGCTCCGCTGCCCCTCTGCGTTGCAGTGTTCCCTTTGCCCCCCACCCCCGGCTGGGGCTCACTCCTGTGTGAACTTCCCCTGTAGCAGCGTGGAGAGCGGGACAGCCAGACCCAGGCCATCCTCACCAAGCTCAAGTGTGCTGCAGGTGAGGGGCCCAGGGGAGCCGCGCCGGGCGCCAAGTGGCCTGGCTCCATTTGCAGTGGTGTCCACCTGTCACATGTGGGCACTGTTGCCGCTCACAGCTGCTGCCTGGGTTCCTACTGCCAGGAGTGGTGCGGGCTGAGGGTGGGAGTGAGCTGGCCAGGCGCAATGCTCCTGGCCGCCAAGTTCTTCCTGCCCCTGTGGCCCAGGTCTGGCTGAACTGGCTGCCCGGAAGTACAAGCAGGCTGCCAAGTGTTTCCTCTTGGCCTCCTTTGACCACTGTGACTTTCCTGAGGTGAGGCTGGCGGGGGCGGGGGCTGTCCCCGCTGTGGGTACCTAGGGGCCTTCCCAGCTGCCTGCCGGGTGTCTGACTGACACCCTGCCCTCAGCTGCTTTCGCCCAGCAACGTGGCCGTCTATGGGGGCCTGTGTGCCCTGGCCACCTTTGACCGCCAGGAGCTACAACGCAACGTCATCTCCAGCAGGTGAGTGGGCCGCTGCCCCTTCCACCCGGGAAATGTGGGCGGGCAGGTGGGATGGGTGGGTGGGTCCTGAGGAGTGTGGCTTTGCAGCTCCTTCAAGCTGTTCCTGGAGTTGGAACCTCAAGTCCGGGACATCATCTTCAAGTTCTATGAATCCAAGTACGCCTCCTGTCTCAAGATGCTGGATGAAATGAAGGTGAGGGTGGGGCAGGGGCTAGCCCCGCTGAGCTGGGGAGGATGCAGGCCAGCAGGTACCCTGACTGACCGTCCACGCCCTCCAGGACAACCTGCTCTTGGACATGTACCTGGCCCCCCACGTCCGAACGCTGTACACCCAGATTCGCAACCGCGCCCTCATACAGGTAAGAGTGGTGCTGTTGGGGGGGGGGGCGCCGCTGCCTTGATGTCGCTGCTGACACCCCCCACAGTACTTCAGCCCCTACGTATCTGCCGACATGCGCAAGATGGCGGCTGCCTTCAACACCACTGTGGCGGCGTTGGAGGACGAGCTGACGCAGCTGATTCTGGAGGGACTCATCAATGCCCGCATCGACTCTCACAGCAAGGTGGGCGGCCCCCGGCCCCCAGGGGAGAAGGCGTGTGGCAGCCCCCCCACCCCACTGAGCCTCCTTTTCCTGCAGATCCTACATGCACGGGATGTGGACCAGCGCAGCACCACCTTCGAGAAATCCCTGCTGATGGGCAAGGAGTTCCAGCGCCGCGCCAAAGCCATGATCCTGCGTGCGGCCGTGCTACGCAACCAAATCCACGTCAAGTCTCCTCCCCGCGAAGGGAGCCAGGGGGAGCTCACACCAGCCAACAGCCAGTCCCGGATGAGCACCAACATGTGAGGCTGTAGGAAACGCACTACCATGGAGGCTGCCCCCCCACCCCCACCCCCAGTCACGTGGGGCACCGGCTTCCAGTCTCACCCCCGCCCCTGGTCCAGATTGAAGACACTGTTACATTTCAGCCCATTAAATCGTGCACTGTACACCTGCTCTGACTGGTCCCTTCCTGCTGCCTTCCCTCCCGGACAAACTCCTAGGCATCTGCTGAGAGCAGACTGCAGTGGCCGCCAAGAAAGGGGATCCATGGCAGATGGTTGGGGTCCACAGAGGCCAAGACACTGAGCAGGGCACGATAGGATTTATTGTTCACGTGGTAAACAGCAGGCGATCCCTGAGTAAAGGCACGTGCTTGGGGGGCCGTGATCTGGCCCAGTAGCAGTGCTGGTCAGACCCCAGCTGGCCTCAGGCCACGGCACTGCCCATGACCTCAGGGAAGCTGTCTGGTCCCCCAGATCCTGCGGGGGACTCCTGCAGCTTGGGCTGCTCTGCCTTCCAGGCCAGGGATTTCTCCAACTTGGTCCTGAACAACAGCCCATGACCTGGGAGAGTGGAGGACAGTGGGCATGTGCTCGGCCCCACCTCTGGCAGGCCCCCTCCCACCAGCTGGGCACCTCACCTGGACAGTCCGCGGACTCTCGGAAAGCTCTCTTCTTACAGCAGCCCCGGCACAGGTGAAATACGCACCTGTTTCCCTGGACACAGGAAGGCCAGTGAGACCAGCTGTCACTGTCAACCAGCCCAGATGGCCCCTGGGGTCAGTCTCTAGGAGGTGACAGGCTCTTGGCTCTCCACTGCTTCCTGGGCACAGGTAGCAATGGCCAGAGACCTCTCACCTTGGGGTTGCCACACTGGTCACACTTTGCATATTTCGCTGGAAAAGAAGAAAAGGGTGTTTGGTGGGATAAGGGGAGCCAAGGCAGCTGGGCTTCCTCCGCAGCGATGGCCCCTTAGCCGTCTGCAGCTCCCTACCATGGGAGAGCAGGGACATGGGTAGTCTAGACCTGCCCTTCCCTTTGGGCAAGGGGTGGGGGCAGGATGGATGGGAATCTGCCCGAGAGCCATGACAAAGAGCCCCTCTCTGCAGTTCCCTAAAGCAGCTGGGGTCTGCTCTGTGCAGTGTCCTGTTGGCAGCTGTCTAGGGGACTCCTGCAGGATGGTGACGCAGGCTCTAGTGGGCACTGGGGGGAGGAGGGACAGCTTCCTGTGGTCTAACTTCTCCCCCCCAGGGCTGCCTCCCAGCGCTTCCCTCACACACTCAGTAGAAGCCCTGATTTACAGCAGAGATGGTTCACACAGATTATAGGTTATAGGTCCCAGTCAATGAAAACCAGGCTCGGACAAAAAGGCCTTCAGGCTGGGAGTGCAGCTTACGCTTGAGTGAGGGGTCGAAGGTCTTGTGGGGGTTCCTCAGCTGCTTCTTCTGTTTGTTCTTGGATAGGACTTTGGCATGGCTCCCTTCTTCTTCCTCCTCCTCCAGGGCCCTCTTGCTGGGTACAGCACTGTTCTTGCTCCCATCTTTGGGTCTGATGGGAGAAGTATGGGCAGAGCTGACTGGGACCACAGAGACCCGCCCCCTGCGCCCCGTGTCCCCCGTAGGCAGCGCTCCACATCCCCAGAGTAGCTGAAGGCTGGGGCCCCACAATGAACCACAGTACTGACATGGGACTCCTGACAGATACAGCAGGGCCCACACTCAGGGACCAATCCACTCAACCAGAGTGTGAGCAATGTCTTAGAGGTAAGGTCGACAGGGCACTGCTGAGCCCAGCCACCAGGGCCTGTGGTAGGGCCTATGGGCCCAGGTTACACCACTGGGGAGGGCACACTTGTCTACAGTGGCCCCCTCTGCCCCTCCTTGCCTCATGGTCCCTGAGTAGCCAGGGAGGATGTTGGTGAGGGACTTACCCCGGCCGAACATAGGGCTGACAGATCCAGTGGAAGAAAGGCAGGCCCCCCGAGGGCGTCTCCCCCTCCTTCTGCCTGGACATATCCTCCTGCAAGTGACCAGAGGCTCCTGTGTCACTGGTCACCGCCTGAGCCCTGGCCCACCCTCAGTGTCTGGCCCTGCCCACCAGCACATGCCTGGCACCGACGTCTCAGTGTCTGGCTCACAGCGGCTACATCCTCCAAGGTCTTCGCCTTGGCCAGTTCCTCACGGAGTGGCTGGTGCACCTGCAGCCTGGGACAGATGCCCAACACAGGCCACCCCCGCTGACCACCCACACCCACAACACCTCTCTCTCCCCCTTGCACCGTCCCCTTAGCAGGCACAGAGCCATGGGGGTCTCAGACCGCAGAGGGGACCTGAGTGCCGGGGCCCCCACTCACGTGTGGTGCCACAGCTTGAAGAGGTGGGCGCGGACATAGGACAGGGGACAGGGGTGTTCCTGCACCAGCTCCAGGTACTCCTCAGCTAGCTCCCACACGGCAGGGCTGCGGCCCTCAAACAGGGCGGGATTGTGCAGGTTGCCCTCTGAGAAGGACAGGAGTGGGGCGGGGCGCAGTGAAGTCAGGAGACACCTGAGCCAGGGGCACCAGACACTATTCCCATGCTCGCGACCCTGCCCCTCACCTGCGCTCACGCCCCCCTGCGCCCCTCACCTGCGCTCACGACCCCCAGTGTCCCCTCACCTGCGCTCATGACCCCCTGCACCCCTGTGTCCTGTAGGCAGCGCTCCACGTCCCGTAGACACTGGATGTTCCCATTGGCGAACACAGGGATACCCACGGCCTGTCTGTGGGAAAGCAGTGTAGACACTGAGCCTCAGCAGCGCCGGTGCCCCCGACCTGGCTGGGACCCCACTCACCGCACGGCTCGGATGTGCTCCCAGGATGCAGGGCCCAGCAGGGGCCCCTTCTGCTCCTTGGTCCGTCCATGCACGGTCAGCAGCTAGGATGAGGGGCTGGTCAGCAGGCTATTCAGGACCTCCCCCCTGCCCTCCCCATGTATCCTCCCCAGGTGATGGGCCATGGGGGATAGGTTCAGGAGGGGACGGGATGGCAAGGCCAAGCTGGACAGCCACTGATGAACTCAGGCAGAGGAGACCCCCAGCCCTCCACAGCCCTAGCCTCTCACCTGGCAGCCAGCTTTTTCCAGCATCTGGGCATACCTCACGGTCTTGTCAATTTCTGGGAAGACACGGATCTTGCACGTGACAGGAACTGAGAGTTTCTCATGGGCCAGCAAAACTGTGGACAAACAGCGGCCCCCTCTGAGGCATGGGGGGGGGGACGTGGGATGGCTAGCAGAACCTTTCCCTTGCCTCAGAAATCCGTGACCAGAGGGAGCAGGGGTGGGCTTGAGCCTGAGGCACTGCCCACTGTCCACTCAGCTGGCCCAGGCCGAGACACTCAGTCATGAGGCCCCTGGTGGTCCGTGGCCCAGGCAGCCTCATCCCCGGCCCTGCCCTGTGACACCTCCGCAGCCAGATGCCGTGACTCACTCATTCTCTGAAGCAGGTCCCACTCTTCCTGCAAGAAGGCGCCGTAGTGACCTGTGGAGGACAAGCACCTCAGTCCCATCAGATGGCTGGGTGGGGAGTTCTGAGCCCATGGACTTCATCTGGTTCACTCAGGTTCCAGGGCAGGGACTTCCAAGTGACCCCTTAAGAGAGGCCACTGAATCTCCCAGTGCAAGCTCGAACCCGGGTCCCCCGAGGTCAAAGGTTTATAGCAGCAGGGCAGCAGCCAGGTACATTGTGTGCTCACACGTACACAGGTGGAGACCGTCCCCCCAACTCCCATCATCCTCCTCTCCGTGACATGAGGCAAAGCTATAGGCGTCCGGGTCTGTCGTGGGCCAGTGCCCAGCCCAAGTTTGGTCTATTGGTGTCAGAACAGGGCTCTGTGTACCCAGCTGCCACACTCGGGGATGCTGGGTGGGCACTCACCCCTCTTGGCGATCATCTGCGGGCAGCCCAGGTTCAGGTCGATGGCGTCGCAGTAGTCCTGAGCCAGCAGAGCCGCCTGCACAAACACCTCTGGGTCGTTGGCACAGAACTGGAAAAGATGGACAAGCAGCATGATGACCGGGGTGCCAGGGGCGGCTCCTGCCGTGGCCCCCCTCCACTCCCCTCAGAGCTCTTCCTCGACCCACCTGCACGATGAGGGGCCGGTCCTCGGGGCACACCTCACAGTATAAGTTCTCCTTCCTGTAGTTGGCATCGCGCACAAAGACCTGGGCATGCAGCATGGGCGTGTAGCAGAGCTGGGCCCCATGACGGCGGCTCAGCAACCTCCAGGCCAGCTCGCTCTGGTCCACCATGGGGGCCACTACGTGGCGGGCGCCCCCTAGGGTGCGGCTCCAGAACTCGAAGCCCTGCAGCTTTGGCATGGTCTCCACCCTGCAGGAGAGGAGGAGCAATGTTCAGGCATGCCAAGGAGAGGCAGACTGACAGGGCGTACAATTAAACTCAGAGCCACTCCAGTCCCTGCTGGTGGCACACAGCCAGGTCATAGGTGGACAGTATCAGCAGGCATGGGCCCAGAACTGAAACCCCAGCATCACCTACCAAAGGTGGCTTTGGGCCAAGGTCACTGAACCTGGGGTTACAGCCCCTCACATGTTAACCATCAAGCACACAATTCAGAAAGAGCAAACGAAACAGCAGTTGCAGTGCCCATGCTGAACTGGAACCCCGAAAGGGAGCCATGACTCAGAGACCCTCAGGACCTCCACCTTGCAGAACCACCCTGGAATCTGTGGCTCTGCTTGCACGCCCTGCCTGCCATGTAGACAAGCCTGGCTGCCTGGCTACTCCATGGCCTTTCTGGGCATCTGGAGGTTTATGTATGAAAGTGCCAGGAGCCTCAGCCGACGGCCATCATGGTGAGCAACGAAGGCTTTGAGGATGTAGTACTGAAGCCTCCTTCCTTTGAAGGCTAATGCTTAGAGCCCTGTGAAGTTGGAGCAGTATAGAGCCTCTTCCTGGGGCTGGGCTTTTCTGTGTTTTCTGGTTATGGTGATGTACTGTGGAGTTGGTTCTGACTCATAGTGACCCTGTATAGAGTTTCCGATTAGGGGAGCAGAAAGCCTCATCTTTCTCCCACGGAACAGCTGGTAGTTTTGAACTGCTGACCTTGCGGTTCGCAGCCTGATTCGTAACCACTACACTACCAGAGCTCCTTTCTCTAGCAGGGACTTAATAACTGGTGGCCAGGAGTCGTCGCACAATGTGAGACACCAACACACAGATTGGGAGCTCGGAGAACCTCCGTGGCTCCATGTACACGTGGGAAACAGGAAGGAGGCTCATCTTTATATCACATCAAGACCCAACGCTAGCTTGGGGTTTACGGGAGGAATGAAATGACAGAGAGATCAGCCAAGTCACCAACGTTCTCGCCAAAGACACCGGCCAAGTCTAAGAGCCAGGTTAACCGTCCTGCACCCAAGGCTGTCAAGCTACTGCTCCAACCTCAGCATTAGGGGGCCTTGCAACGTCAGGGCTAGGGGGCGCTCCCGGATGGACCAGACAGAAGCTGCGCTGCAAACAACTGCAGGCTCAAGCTGCCCCCACGACGCTCCCTTTACCTCCCCAAGTCTCGAGCGCAGTGCGCAGCCGAACCAGGAGCTGGACTGGAGCCCCACTCTGCCCCACGGAATGCCGACGTGTCTCTGGGGCCCAGTGCGCGCATCTCCCCGAGTCCCTCGGTCCTGGGTCCCCCAAAGTCTGGGGGCGACGCTCGGGCTTCCAGATCTGCCGGAGCAACGGGGGCTCCGCGGGAGTCGCGGGGTGCTCCGATCCTCTCTGCCAGGCCTGCCCGCTGCCGCCCGGGTACCTGCCTGCCCGCTGCTCCGGGCCCGGATCACCGCCCGGGGTCGCAGCCCTCCGCTAACCACCCGCGCCGCGCAAGGGCCACTGCTGGGCAGATGCTGGACCCATGGCTCCGTGCCGGGGCCGCCGGAAGCTGCGGCCGCCGGAAGGTGCTTTCCCCTGGGCGGTCCGGAGGACCCGCGGTGCGCTGGCAAAGGCGTCCCCGGAAAACCGCACTCTGTCGCCGAGAGTGCCGCGATGGAGGGTCCGCGCGCTTGGGGCGGGAGGTCAGCGGCCTGAGGTCCATTTGCTCCGTCCTGTATTCCGCGGCTACGGACACCCACTGCTCATTCTGGAATCTTGGTTGTCTAGTATCTTCTAACAGACGCCCAGAGGGCCTGGAGCCGTTTGAGGGGCTACAGACCTTTGTTGTTATTAGGCACCATGGAGTCCGTACCGACTCATAGTGACCCTGTGCACAACAGAACCAACACTGCCCGGTCCAACGCCAACCTCACAATCGTTGCTATGCTTGAGCCCATTGCTGCTGCCACTGTGACAATCCATCTCATTGGGGGTCTTCCTCTTTTTCTCTGACCCTCCACATTACCAAATTTGATGTCCTTCTCCAGGGACTGGTCCCTCCTGACAGTATGTCCTAAGTATGGGAGACATACTGTTTCTGACAACTTCAATCTTTCATTCATTTATCATAATGTTATTTATTAGTCTAGTGGTGAGGATTTTTGCTTTCTTTACATTGAGAGTCAACCCATACTGAAGGCTGTGGTCTTTGATCTTACAGTATTTAAGTTCTCTTGGAGAAAAGTGAAGAGAAGAATGCTAGGTAAGAGGAGAAATCCACATGGAGGAGTAAGCAGATACACATCTCAGACCCTCTAGAACAAAGATAAGGGAGACCAAGCCAAAGCACACACAGATGGTAACCCTGGAACCCTGAGCTTCAGAGGCAAGGTTCAGGAAGTAGATGGAACACTCACTAGGAGGAGAGGCTGGGTGGCGGGGCGAAGGAAGGACTGATGAAGGTTCTCTGTGGGTGACTTCCAACACAGACCTGCTTTGCATACTGGGGACTGATCCATACTGGGGACTGATAACGGGAAAGGTGTGCTACTTTTTGGATCCCCAATGCTCCCCTGGTGACCGGAGATGTGGCCAGTCCCCACATCCATCCACCCCCTAGAGCAGGCCCTGCTGTCCAGCAGTTCACAGTCCTGAGGCTCACTGTGCCAGAGCCAGGTGGGTGCCCACTCTGCCCACTTGGTGGCTGGATTTGAGCAGGCTCTGCTCCAGGTGTACAATGTCTGATCAGCCTGGAGCTGGCCTCATTCTTGCCACCTGTGGTCCTGACAGACAATGACCTGACCTATGGGAACTACCAAAAGGATGTTTACCTGTGCTTTACTGACTACGCAAAAGCTTTCAATGGTGTGGATCATGACAAGCTACGAAAAACATTGTGAGTATGAGTATCCCGGAACATTTAATTGTGCTCATGAGGAACCTGTACATAGACCAAGAGGCAGTTGTTCGAAGAGAACAAGGGAACACCCAGTGGTTTACAATGAGGAAAAGTGCGAGACAGGGTTGTATTCTTTCACCATACTTATTCAATCTGTATGCTGAGCAAATAATCAGAGAAACTGGATTATACGAAGAAAAATGTGGCATCAGGATTGGAAGAAGGCTCATTAATAACCTGTAATATGCAAATGATACAACCTCAATTGCTGAAAGTGAAGAGGACTTAAAATACTGATGAACATCAAAGACCACAGCCTTTGGTATGGGTTGCATGTCAATGTAAAAAAAAAAAAAATCCTCTTCACTGGACCAATAAAAAACATCGGGATATGCAATAGTGAATAATTGTTATCAGGACTGATTGTGAGGGTTGGAAATGTAAAGGTAGACGTTTTATAGCAAGGAAGGGAGTGATTAACTTCCCAGTCTAGGAGCGGAGGTCCCTAGGACCATCAACGGAGAAGCGCCGAGAGCGGGACCTACCCAGAGAAGCAGTGATGCCTGAGATGGAGGCAGAGACGATGACGTGGAGCGATGGAGCAGCTGGAGACTTTAGATCCAGAGAGGGAGAGGAGCTGTGTGCAGAAGACTCGGGGGGGTGGCTAGTGTAGGGGGCAGGCTTGCAGGGTATAACCTTTGGTTGGTTGATGATGCATGGAGGGGATTGTAACCATGGCAATGAAATGATATACAATAGAATGAATGTAAAACTAATGTTCTCCCATGTAAACTATCATATAATTCACAATAAAATATTAAAAAACAAACAAACAAACAAAAATCGAGATAAATAGAGAAAAGATTGAAGTTGTCAAAGACTTCATTTTGCTTGGATCAGCCATCAACACTCATGGAAGCAGCAGTCAAGAAATCAAACAATGTATTGCATTAGGCAAATCTGCTGCACAAGACCTCTTTAAAGTGTTGAAGAGCAAAGATGTCAGCTTGAGGACTAAGATGCACCTGACCCAAGCCATGGTATTTTCAATAACCTCATATGCATGTGAAAGCTGGACAGTGAATAAAGAAGAATGTAGAAGAATTGACGCATTTGAGTTATGGTGTTGGAGGAGAATACTGAAAGTGCCATGGGCTGCCCATAGAACCAACAGATCTGTGTTGGAAGAAGTGCAGCCAGAGTGCTCCTTGGAGGCCAGGATGGCCAAACTTCGTCTCTCATACTTAAGACATATTATCAGGAGGGATCAGTCACTGGAGAAGGATATCATGTTTGCTAAAGTGGAGGGTCAGAGCAAAAGAGGAAGAGCCCTAGCGAGATGGATTGGCACAGTGGCAGCATCAGTGGGCTCAAGCACAGCAATGATTGTGAAGTTGGTACTGAACCTGGCAGTGTTCCTTTCTGTTGTGCATAGGGTCGCTATGAGTCAGTACTGACTCGATGGCACCTAACAACAACAGTAACATAGGAACTCCATTCAGAGCTGGGACTGCTTCCATCGCATCCTTCTGCCAACCACTCTGTGAGCTCCTTGAGTAACAGGATCCTCCCACAGTTCTTTTCTCTCTGGGCCCAGCACCAGTACTGTTTTTTGGTTTTAATTTCCTTTTCTCCTTTTGTTGTTTTTCTCTTTCATCTCCTTCTGCCTCTCTTTCTCCCTTTCCTTGCTTTGTAATCTTTTCTGCCTGTTTTCATTTCTTCTTCTTTTTTTCTGTTTCTCTTTCCCCATTCTTTCTGATTTCCTTTTTTTCTTCTTCTCTTGATCTTCCTGTATTACTTTCTAGTCTCTCTTTTCATCTTACCTCTCCCTGGTTTTGTCTTGTATTCTTTTGCTTAAAAATTTCTCTCTTATTTTTCTCTTCTATAACTGTATTTTACTGTCCCTCTTTTTCTTTTTATATTTTATATTTTTATTTTCTTGTTGTTGTCTACTTTTTTTCTCCTTATTATTTTCTTTGTTCACTACTGTTGGCTTTGTTTTCTTGTATGTGTGTGCATTTTCTCTTTTTGCCCCACCTTAAAGGAGACAGAAACCATACCCAGACAGCCGAGACACAATCGTATCCTCTGTAGCTGTACCCACTGGACA